ACTGCCATAATATGTCCATTCTGGAATTTATTTATTTGGCACTAAGAATCCACAGGGTGCTTGAATAAGGAAACAATATTCCTAACAAACATCTGTCTTCACATAAGTCTTTAAGATGGTTCATTCTAGCTTTGCTTTTCACTTGAGAATTTAATTTGGTAACCTACCATCATGCTCTGGAGAGAGTTAAGCAGCACGGGTAGTAAATGTTCTTCAAATCTACTTGGAATAAGCTTCTATACCACATTAAACAAAATGTGCAGGGATTCAGCTCACAGTGGAGTCTCCTGCAGCGTTGTGAACTACCCTGCATTGTAAGTGTGGGTGGAGGCCTCCCCAGGCTTCAGGTTCAAGAGGAGATAAGTGTGTTCTTAAGCACTGACTTGAGCAGGAATGTTTTTCTGAATCAGAGCCAGAAAGAGCAGCCAGTATGTCCTCTCCTAGTTAAAAGAGATGTGCTTTTTAAAATTATTTTTAATTTCCCTGGTGCTCTCTTTAACTCATCTATTTTATGCTTAAAAGGATATCAGGAAGAAAAAAAGATTTTTATTTAATGAATTCATCTGATCCCTTTCTGATCTCTCAGCCTACATGAGTAATCCCTTGTAAGAGGAAAAACAATAACTTTTCTACCAACTGGATGAACTAGTAAAGATAAGCTCACGCAACAGAGCAAGGAATAAACACAGATGTTCTCCAAACTACCTCCCAGTGTCTAAAAGGTGGGAAAAAAACTTCCTGACCAAGATGCAAGAATTACAATTTTTATCATGTTCCTTTATCGTGTTCCTTTATCATGTCCCTGAAGTAAATATAACAAGTGTTCAGCACTCCCTGTAGCTACATGTTTAAGATATCGGCTTCTATACTTGTTACAGATTTGTGAGTTTTTCCCCTTTTTACGTATGGCAATACTAAAAGCAGGACATATACATCATTTCCATCCGTCTTCTCCCCATCTTTGGAAGGCTCTCTGGCAATGCGAATGAGTGTCATTACTAGAAACAAAAATCATTAGTCTGTTTAATAATTACCGAGACCACTGAGGAGAACATTCTAAGACAGAATTTTAAGGCTATATAAGACAAAGCTGTTACACACTGAACTTCCAAAGTTGGAAACTAGAGTAATATTAACCCACTGCTATTGTACACCACTATTTATATAAACACAGTAAACCTGACTTGGATCCCACAAAGCTCAGCAAAAGTGTTTCTCACAGAGCTTGGTAAATATTGAATCAGACTTTCAGGCACTGCTAAGGCTGAACTGAATAGAGCCTCTATTTTCATCTCTGTGTCTAGGAACCTACTTCCTGCTATATCTCTCTGGGAAGAAACAACCTAAAGAGGCAATATCCGAAAACCTTCTTCTGATTTGAGGCTGAGATCACTTAATCTTTCAGTGCAGAACTGAGAATTTACCTCATGAAAGCTAAATCCACAAAGTACTGCATGACAAGCTCTCTAGTGGTCAAAGCTTTCAGCTGCAGAGGGTATGCCCAAAAAAGGTCTCTCTTAAGTCAAGGACACAGGGACTCCTCTTCATTTCCCAGTGCTCATCATTTTTCCAGTTCATCACTAGTTATTTGTGTTTAGACCAATACAATTTGGAGAACTACCACATTAGGAGACTTTGTAAATGGGCAGGCTATTTAATTTCGTCTAGCAGTAGAGGGGCTACAAGCAAGTGCATAATGAAAAAAAGATAAAATAAAAAAAAAAAAAGAGAGAAGTGATCCTTTACTCTGCTTCCTGCTTCCTGCAATTTATAGCCAAGGGAATTCTGTACTCATGCCTTAATGGAAGGAAACTACATTAATGTGACTAATAGTTTTTCAAGCCTGACTTATTCACCTTCACAGCCTCCTGTTTCATGATGTCCTGCAGTATACACTTTTGTGGTGTGAAGATTTACTCTTTGTTCTGAACCAGCTGTCAGATCTGAAGCCTATTCTGGAGCTGTGAGAAAACCTGGATAAACATTTGTAAGAAGTAGCATGAAAGAAAGTGAACTGGCAGACTACAACCTCCTTCATTAGTTCCCCTAAATAAGGAGCCTATGCTCCCTATGTATTCACTAGAGTCCCTGCAGCATAGATGCATCAAGGATCTCACCTCTAGGGTTATGATAATCACAATTTTTACCTTAACCAGAGGCTGTTTTTTCCTTGGATATTTATTTCTAGAAGCCCTCTCAGAGACTGTCTCCCATGTAGCCTGAAGCAGCAAAACCTCGCCATGTGCTGCTGGCCATGCTAAAGTGAGCAGTTGCACAGCCTTCTGTCCCTGAGACAAAGGGAGTCTGTACACCACCACACCAACCAGCAGCCAAAAGGGTAACTACAACCACAGGACACTTAGTCTCAAGCACCTGCCAAGAGGACATGGATTTGAACAAATCTTTCACTAACTCAGCTTCTAAGCATATGCATCAGTCATGTCTTGTCAAATACCACTTCCTTGACATTTCACTGCCATTGACAGGTTGTGCTCGTAAGCATACTGGTACAAGCATTTTTCACTGTAAACAAGGATAGACATTTTTTATTCTGATGTAACTGAGATCAAAAGGTGCCCTTCCCACACATCACCAAAGCAAAGATATAATACAGTTTATTTTTGTGTGGTGTCAAGCTTTTGGAGTTAATTAGAGCCATTATTATTTACAGATGTCAAAAAAATAAAAGCTGAGTAAAGATGTTTGACAAGGTCACAGGAAAGAGGATGACTTACTTGCTGATATGCCTAGGGAAAAATATGTCTTTATTTCATAACAAGAGCCCTGTCAGCAATGTCATCATTGATATAATGAACAGAAGTTGTAAAGGTTGCTGATGACTACAGAAAAAGATGTGACCAGAAGAGTTCAAAAAGGGCGAGCAATAGAAGGTAGCTTATCCACTTGTACAGCACATTTTTTATTTTATTTTATTTTATTTTATTTTATTTATTTATTTATTTTTAAGGAAAAAGCCATTCTGCAGCAAATACTCGGAAAATACCAGAAGCAGAAGGCTGTTTTATCCTTTTCTCACCACTGTTCTACCAGACCATGTGATCTGTGATGCAAAGGTTCTAAGACATCGGCAAAAGGGCTTCACACAGTTAAGTGAAATGAGTTCTTCCATTGACATTAGAAATTAAAGATTTCATCCACAGGGTGTAATACTGCTTTTTGGTACTAGTCAGGCTCTTTGCCCTTGCAGTTTCATGAGCAGGCTGTCCCTGCTATGAGTGCTCATCCTCTGCTCTGTGAATTTTCTTGCTCACATACTGAGTGGGTACACAGACCAACTTATCCTTTTAACAGTAACTATTTTTCCACTGAATCTGCAATTTATTGATTTGACTAGACCTTAGCCCTCAGCAGAAGCTTTAGAGCTTATGCAAGGGGAAGAGTAACATTTCTTTCAGAAGAAGCACCTGTTCCAAGTAGGGCTTTCAGAGTGTAAAGGAGAAAAGAGTTCTTCAACTTTAAGGAAAAAGAAGCAAAAGGGAAAGCCTGTTCACTTGCTTTACTGCTACCTTGTCCTTATAAATTAAAGAAAGTAAGGACATTCAGTATAAAAGTACAGAGATGGCCAGACGGAACAGAGCTTGTCAACATTTCCCACCTATACTGAGAAAAATTATTCCTCTAAGCTTAGGTAGTACAACATATGGAGAAAAAAAAAAAAAAAAAAAAAAAAAAAGGAGGACAGAGAAGTTATCAGGGCACTCTCACCTTGATAACGCTAATGTTCTCTTAATAACTAATGCTCTCTGTAGAACAGGTAATGACGTATAATGAAAGGGAGAGGAAAATACAGGAACTGGTAAATAGTAAGTGGGATGAATGTTGCTTACTGAGACAGATGCTTATGTTCAAGGGATGTGGCTTCAAATCTAACCAATAAATTAAGTTCTTAATCTCCTCTCACATATCCTGAATGAAGAAAAGAACTTTTCCCTTTGTCTAAAAACTACATGATAGAACAGAAAATTTAAGGTGATCATGAACAAACTTGGTTCAGAAATCTGATGAAGAATTTCACCATCAAATCATTAAACTTCAATATAGAACTCAATACTGTTGTCATGAACTCCAGTGTTTCACAGGGCTAAAGACATATGTGAAGACAATTCAAAATAATTTCCTTCTCACATTGTCCACATCTTCCCACTGACACTTCAAATTCATTAAAATCATATAGTCAGTACTAGCATCATACGGAGTTAAAGATGATGTGCATGTCAGTAGGGATCCCTCTCAATAAGTTTAGTTTCTTCACTTATTTTTATCTATAACTAATCCTCATGATTCAGAGCAGATCTTCAAGGCTCTTCTTGCTGAATTACATTTACAAGGCATCCTCAAGTCTGGAAAGTGCCAGAACCTCCTCATATAAGAAAAAAGGGACATTGACTCATGCAATGGCCTAACTCAGAAAAAAAGTACCACCTCATTGTCCTATGGCCACTGAGACATGACTAGAAAAGGGCTAAGAATAATTATAAAGTTCTTTCTTCCCCCATGCTCACTCCCCCAAATATATATATATATATATATATATAATTATTATTGTTATTTATTTTCCCCAGCACTTTGTGGTTCCTGAAGTGCCTGAGCTGGAACTACTATATCTGTGCTTAAAAAGCAAAAGTTTTGCCTGTGGTTAGGAAGATACTTTTGTATGCACTTTGCTCAAAGCTGCTCATAAACGGAATGCTTTCAAACACCCATTGTTGCCCACTATTAATAACAGATCAGGTTTGCTGGGTCTAGGAAAGCGATTGCTCTGTTCCCAAGCACTACTCTTCTCTGCTTTTTACAAATGTTATTGCCCCCACACCAATTTCCTCTACATAGCCTGCCATCATAGTGCTTACAGAACATCAAAAATCTTTTTAAAAGAAATTTTAAGATTTAATTAATTTAAGTTTTTAATAGAAAGCTTAGTAAGTGTTCCTATGATGACAATTCATCTCAGGAAAAACAGAGAAAACAAGCAGTAGTACCTTTTTATAGCAGTTTTGCAGAAGAGACTTGGAGTTTTGTAAGCCTTAACTTAAAAGTGAAAGTGAAAAGTGAAAGAAACCTGTGAACTTGTGAAAATGTTTATTGAGACCACATAGGACCAACTGTTGGGGGGGGGGGGGGGGGGGGCGAAAGGTAGCAAAGCTTAAAGCCCATTGGATTAAAGTACATCAAAATTATTGAATTATAACTGATTTATTTAGTCATTTTAAATTATCTCAAAGAGCTCTAAGAAGAATAATTGGGCTCCAAAATGTTTAACAGGAAGCAGAAAAGAAATCTGCCCTAGACAACAATAAGGACATCAGATATTTTGCATGAGAGAGACTGAAGGGGAAAATACTGTGTATACATAGCACAAGAGGTCTGAAACCATACAAGCATAGTGGCACTTAGCCATTGAAAGAACTAGTTTCCTCATAAGTAGCAGTATTTTTGGTATTTCTTACTGGAATTTGTTCCCCACCCTACTAACCCAACAGATCCCGTTATTACTTGAGCATCAGGGCACATTGCCAGGTCAACTTTCCCAGGCTTTTCTGACAGAGGTTAGTTCCTGCTCTTTTCAAGTCCCAACAACCAAAAGATACACTTTATCTGCTTAAAACAATTAACCACAGGGTGTTCATTTTTTAATTATTTTAAATCTTAAAGCTATCAAAACAACGATTTTTTTTAATGTAATAAAATGATACTTAACTATAGAGCAATGAATGTTGATCTTCACAGAGGTTATAGAGGAGGTCAAACTACATGACAACAGTGCTTTTTTACTTTGGCCTTTATGAAATAAAGAAAGATAAGTCAAACACACTATCAGTGGATAAAGTAAAATTACCTGCCCAACTGTTTGGTTACAACCACATCACTTACCATGGAAACAGGTGCTTTTCTACTTCCACCCTTCCCTGTTACGATTTGGTTTATATTCATCTGATTGTTAACTACAATTCCCCCACAGTGAAATACCTGCCACATGTGTTATCCACAACATGACCATGTCACCCATATAATTTTCTATCTATAGTTACCAGTTCCCAACGAAGTACCCTGTTTATTAAGCTATTAAAGAATGTGCTGCATTAAAAATAAACAAAACAAAACAAAACAACAAAAAAGAATCCTTTATAAGCTTATACCACTTAGTATAGAGATTGGGTGAACCTACATTACACTGCTTTGCGTACCACCAGAAATTGTAGAATATGTTCTGGCACACTTGTAGTAAGAAAAAGAAGGAAAAAGAAAATACTACCACAGATAGCTGTCAGTCATCAAATGAAAATCCCACCCTAAAAAAAAGTTGTTCCCATCAGGGCCAGCCTCGAGGGAATGTTAGTAGTAATTTACAATGATTTTAATCAACCAAATCTGGCCAAAAAAAATCTGGTCTTCTATTTAATTTTTAAAACAATGTTACCGACTTTTCTCCTGAAGTGGTATTTGTTAGGAAATTCACCCTTTATAAAGAACACAAAAAATGAATTTTTAAAAGAATTAGTCAACACAAATTTACTTCAGCAAATCCTTGCTTCTTCAACTTTTTCAATTTGGTGTCAAGCAGCAATTGTTTGCTCCTTCCCTCATTGTCTTACACCACACCAGCCTTCTCCCTCTCCTGCACCTGCAGTCTGACTCAGGGTTGTTCTACAGCTGTGTGCTTCTTCCTGAAATACCATCACCGTTGGTTTCACCCATCCATTGGGGCCTCTTCTTCTTTCTTTCCAGAGGGAAATCTCAGCTCTTTATTGCATTTCTCCCTCCTTCCAGGTAGTATAAGATAGTAAGGTATCAAATAGCATTCAAATTAATCTTCAGAATAGCAGGTTATTTCTTGCCAGTTAGCAGTCCACTTCATTTGTAATTTAGTCATTATGTACTTACTAAACACTGTCCTAAGAGAAAATGGGCCTGAAAGAGACAATGATTCTTGGGATCTCCCAGCTCTAATACGTTAGTGATATTATGATTCAATTAGTTTATCCTCACAGGATTCAGTAAATGAACTAAAACCATTAATACAGCATTTCAAGACACATTTCCATCAGATCAAATTGCTGTGAAACCTGCATGCCAATTTAATCACCTTGTTGTGGTGTGATCTGTTGAAGACATTGCATCATCCTTCACTGCCCTTTGAAGGTATGTAATGTAGCAAGACCTTTCAGGAACTCTTCCAAACGTATTACAGTGACTCAGATCTGCACTCTTAACAGAGCTGACCATTAAGTAACCACCCAGGTTTTAGCTATAGACCAAGCAAACAGCAATAACTGCTTTTTGAATCATGTTTTTCCACAAAAGTGAGTTCAGAAGCTGTAAGTGCTTCGGTATTCATTGTTTTATGGTATTTGTGTAAATACTGTGTTAGTAGCATCCTAGTATAGAATTATAAATGACCAATGTAAAGAGCTTAAACAAAATAGTTTTTCATAATTAAGATTATTAACTCTTTGTTCAGATTTTTTTTTTTGTTTGACCTATCCTTCAAAGAACCAAGTCAAAGAACTGAATTTAGCAAAAAGTTTTTCATTTTAAATTAATCCAAATGCAATTACCATCTCAAGCTTGATTTTGGGCATAATTCCAGTACTGCATGTTGTCAAATGGAAATTTACTAGGATTTTCTGGGACAACATGACGTGACGTAGATCATGTGAAATACTTTGTTTCCAGCTCAGGCTGTTAGAAACAGCTATGACATTCTCTATCATTTTCTAACAATGCAAGTAAGCAACATGGACTACACACCAGTTGCCAATAGTACTCCTTCTGCCCATGCTGAAATTCCTTCTCTTGGTATTTCATATTGCTGGACAGCAAACCACATGAACTTCAAATTACAGAAATTCTTACAGTTTATTTGTATTAAAGTCTTTTGCTCCAGTGACTTGAGGTCTGCTGTTTTACACTGCAAATCATTCCCTGTTCTCAAGCCTGCTGACTCACTGATTCATACTGAATCACATCCAGTGGTTCCAACAGTTTTTTGTCTTTATGTACTACTTCTTTGCCTTTGAGCCAATTTCTCAAACATTCTACATAAAGAAAGCAAAGGCAGCTGCATGTGAACATGAATAGGAGGCAGGATTACCATAGCTACCTGCACTCAGTTCCTTTTCATCACAAAAATAGGTTGCTTCAAACACATGAAAAACTCCATGCCAATTCTGTTACTACAAAAATATTAAGCCCTATTTTTTCTTTTTTTTTTTCTTTTTTTTTTTTTTTTCTACTACTTCTTTAAACACCACCCCATCATCTTTGGCACCCTCTCCCTCTTTTGATCTGCCCAGGAATAAAAGTAGTCATTAGCACAGCACTCTGGCCTATAACTCCTAAGTTCTCATAACACCAAACTGTTTTGAGAAAACACAGCATGATGTCACTTCATTTTGTGAAAAACTTGGATGTTGAATGTTTATAGGAACAGTGACTGCAGCAACAGCTTCAGCCAAATGCAATGCCAGCTAGAGCAGTGCAAGCCTTTCTGCCAACTGTCATTACCTAGGCATGCAACTGCCAAACCTCTGCACTTGACCCTCCCAGGTAGATCCTGCCAGATGTACCAAACTGTGGAGCTAGAGTGGGGATCTAAGTTGTGAATAGAAGTAACAATGGGGCAGAAAACACAGTTTCCAATTCTTCATAGCCCAAGACCTCATAAAATCATGGAAGTGTTGGTTAAAAAGTCACTTCACATACTGTACTTTTTTTATTTTCTCCAAATTGGAAGAAGAGAAAAAATGTGTAACACACACAACCACATCCCATTGTTGGCACTGTCTTTTAAAGTCATCTCCCACTTGAGAATCGTTCAGTACTCTTGGACCACTTTTCATGCCCTGCCAATGGAAAATCTAATCTGAAGCAGGTTACAACAGCATATTTGTCCACAGATCAAAGTAGACTTCCATACCTTCTCAGATTGGAGAGAAAATGAAATTGCTGTTTCTAACAATATTTGAAAGCATCCTTCTTCAAAAATAAATAATAAATAAATAAATTCCTTTATTACATGTACTTCTTATTTCTCTGTATTGCCCAGTTCTACTCTGTTCAACATCAGTCTGAATACACCAAACTCAGCTTGGTACTTACACCACTTGACTTTGAACACGATCCTTTAGATCACCATTAGTCATTTCAGCACTCTTTAGCAAATGCATAGCAAAGCAGAATAATTGGTATGTGCATTATATTAAGGAAAAGAAGGAACATGGAGTAAAACATGAAGACTGGACAGAATGCCTATAAATCTGAATGGAAAGATACCACTATGGACGTGCTGGACAGAGCCGTCCTTGTTCCTCTTGGTCTACTGCAGAAAATAAATAAATAAATAAATAAATAAATAAATAAATAATGTCAGTTTAGCCTCTTCAAATTCCTGACAAACATGCCTGTACAGAGAACTATAAAAGAATTACAGAAATGTCAACTGAAAGGGACCTCTGAACGTCTCTAGTCCAACCTCCTGCTCATTGTTGAACTATTACCAACAACAGATAAGACCAGACATAACACAAATACCTACAACAATGAAGACACAGAACCTGTCTGTGTTAGTGACCTGTTCCAGAACTGTTCTACTTTCATACTGAAAGAGTTTGTCCAAGTATTCAACAGAGCCAGCCTAGCTGTAGTTTGCAGTCCTTGCCCCTCACTGTCTCATCTGGCACTAACAAGGCTATTACTATTCTCTTTACCTTTTCCTGAGAGGGGGTTTCAGATCACCTCTTAGTATTATCCTCATCAGATTAAACACACCCAACACCCTCAGACTGTTTTCTCAGGTATGTGCTGTAGATCCCTTTCCAAATTACCATTGCTCTGCCAGCCCTCTCTGCTTTTCTTCCCCATTCTCTGGAAGTGGGAGCCCAAAGTTCAACACTATTCCAGCTAGGCTTTTCCATCCCCAGAAATGAGAACAGAGCCAAAGAACACAAGATTTCATTCCCACAATCCCATGTGATATCGGTATAGGGCTGTGTTCACATTACAGACCACTGGAGGGAATGGGAAGTTTTGAGACCT